GGAGTGGGGGTCCGGGACACCCGCCCGGTGGGCGACGCTAGGCACTCCCGGCCCCTGGGCGGGCTGGGGTGCAGGAAAGGGAGGGAGGACCCGGGAGGGAGGCCCAGGAGGGGCGGGGCGGGAGCAGCTGCGCCGGCCGCCAGGCGGGCGCGGTCGGCCGAGCCATGCGGGACGTGAGAGACGTGTGGCAGGCTCTGCGCAGTCTGCGGCGTGTGGATTTCAGGGAGCGCCGCCTTCTTCCTTCCAATCACAGCACAATCTCAGGGGGAGGTATGCACCTCTGCAAGGCAGGGCCCCGCTTCTGTGCTGACGCGCGGGGTGCAGAAGCCACATGCATGGAAGACCACCATGTGGGCGGCAGTCCCCGCTAAAAGCCACCCGGATCTTCACAGGGTGGGCACTTGTCCTGTGTCCCCAGCTGATGCAGGACTCCGAGGACCGTGGAGGAAGGAAACACATACACCCCCGCCCCCCAAAAATGGCGAGGAAGAGATGTGAGCTGTGCTGGATAAATGTCATGAATTTTAGGGATCTGCCCAATTAAGGTGCCACCTCCCAGTAGTTTTCCGGGGGCTTACAGTCAGGTCAGAAGAGGCTCTAGTTTTCCCTCCTCATCTACTCAGAGAGATTAGGGTATATTGAAAATATTGTCAATGGTGATCACAAAGACCAATAGGACTCCATCCATTTCAGTCCGGCCTCCGGGGCTTTCCTGTTCCCTTTGGTGCCCAGCCCCTTGGGTTTCTCAGCAGCGGGCGGGGGAGGCAGGGAGAAGACCAGGTTCCAGCTCTCAGGGCTAGGTGTTGGGGGAGCAATGTTCCGCACAACTCAAGGTTTCCAAAGGACTCAGGAAAGTGGGTGCGGGGAGTAAGAAGGACCAGGGAAGCCCCCTCCCCGCGGGTGGCACGAGTCGTGGTGGGTGAGACTCACAGGTATTTTCAGGGAGCAGCTTTGGCAAGGGATGACCCAGAGACCTATGTCACACAGGAGCTCTCGTCATCCCCGTTCTGGCTTCCTCTCTAAGGTAGCAGAGACCCCCCTCCCCGAATCCCCCGACCTCTGTCCAACCTGTAGCTCTAAGCCCGGCTCTTCAACTTGAGGATGCCTAACGTGGATCGCGTGTTAAGAATGTGGAGTTTTGGGGGGTCTCACTCCCAGAGAGGCTGAGTCAGCAGGATGCATCTTAACCAGCATCCAAGGTGATTTGGCCGCGGGGGTCCACGCACCACACTGGACTGCTCCGCTTCTTGTTTCCTAGCGCCGCTGAGGTCATTATTCTGGGAAGCTGGGCCAGTCATCTTCAGGGGACGGAGGACGAAGCTCAGCGTGTGGGGCTTTTCGGCCAGAGCTGAGTTGAGGGCGTCCTCACCGGGATGGCAGCAGCAAGGCGCGCTGCTGCGGCTGAGCTGCAGGGGGCGGCAGCAGGCCGGCTCCGGGCCGGCCCAGCCCCACGTGAAAGAGGGCTGGATCCCGAAGAATGCGTCCCCGCCCCGAGGCTGACGTGCGCGTAGCTGCCGGTCGCGACTCTTAAAAGCCCGGGCGCAGCGCGCCGCAGCTTAGCAGAGCTGGAGAGGCGGCGAGCCGGAGGGGAGGGCCTCGGCTCGAGCCGGCACCCGGGGACCGCGGCTGTCACGGCGCTCCGAGCATCCCGGTGGCTTCCCGAGTAGACGCGCCCGGCCGGGCGGCAGCTGCAGGCACAGCCCTAATCCCCTGCCCTGTCGCCGCGCCCGTGGAGCCCCACGCCCCGGGCGGGCGTTCGTGATTTAGCACAAAGCACGTTTCCAAAAAGCGCACGGGAGAGCTCCCGCGCCGCGCTCCGGCGCACGCACCCCCCCTTCCCCTTTGTTTCGGGGGTCGACAGGCTGCTCTCCCCAAGTCTGAACTGTTCGCGGGGGGCGGAGGGCCGCCGAGTCTAGGCTGTGAAGATGCCCTTGGAGCTGACTCAGAGCCGAGTGCAGAAGATCTGGATCCCCGTCGACCACCGCCCCTCGCTGCCCAGATGTGAGTGCAGATTCGCGCGGGGGCCGGGCTGCAGGGGAGCGGCGCGCCGCGTGGAGAGCCCGGCCATTGTGTGGCGGGCGCTGGCGGGGCGCTGTAGTGCCGACTGCGCTCCTCCGGCGCGCTAGTGCCGGGCCCGGCGCCGCCCTCCTCGGCCGTCCCCGCGGGCTGGGGCCGGGCGCTTCCCGCTCCTCCCCGCGGGCGGGCGGGTCCCGTCGCTGCGGCCGTGGGGCGGGGACGGTGCGGGTGGGGCGCGGGCGCTGCGCCTCCCCCGGCCGGCGTCGGGGGCGCTGTGGCCGTGCCCGCCGCCCAGCCGTGCTCTGCTCGGCTCGCGCCGGGAGCGCGGGGGGGGGGGGGGGGGGCTCGGAAACTCCGAGCGCGCCCCGGCCTCGGCTCCGGAGCGCGGGGCTCGGCGCGCAGAACCGGGCGGGAAGCCTTTGCTGCGGGGACGCTTGGCCAGGGACGCCCCCCGGGCGGTCCCCCAGCCCGGCCGACTCCTGCCGAAGGATTCGGCAGGTCTTTCCCCACCCTTTCTCTGCCTTGGCTACCTCCCCTGCACTCCGCCTTTCTCCCTCCTTCCTCGTCGCCTCTCTCTCCCGCTTTGCAGCGTTCTGTTCTTTCTCTACATTCCCATGTCCTGTTTCTCTCTTCTGCGTATCTTTACTCCCCACTTCTCTATTTCTGTCTGCTCCCTCTCTCCCTCCTTATCTCCTCGCTCTCTCTTTTTTCTTCAGTGTATTTTCTTTCTCCTTTCCCTCCCTCCCTCTCCCGGCTTCCCCGTCCAGTTCCTGCTCTGGGGGCGAGAAGAGAACTGCCGGGAACCAAGCCTGTGCTCCTGGGTTTGGGGAGGGTCCCTGGATCAGAGACCGCACATTCGGCTGCATTTTGCGCGCGTGCGTGAGCGCACACACACGCACACACACTCACACATGCACACAGTCCACCGTGCTGTGCTTGGAATTTGCTGGCAGTTCCTCTTCCTGCCCTGTCATCGTGGCACATGCTTTGGAAAGGTTTGCCTTTTACCGTGGGCTCTGTCCCTAAGCTGCGGAGACAGGCACCTATTAGAAGGGCGGTCCCAGGGATTTGAAGGCAACACCTGCTGTGGAGGGTGCATAGGGTCAGTCCGGTGCTGGGTGTTCCGCTTCAGACAGGGCAGGTTTCCTGAAAGGGAAACATGGGATCCTGTGGGCAAATCCTCAAAGTGCTTCTAGGCAGTGACGGCTCCTGAGTGCCAGGCCGCCTGGTGGCCTCTCCTGCTGCCACGTTTCCCTGGGGATGGTCACTGAGGCCATGGGGACATCTTGCCACCTCAGGCTTTGCCCAGGTCTGAATCACCAACACCCCCTCCCTGCCCCAGACAGGAGGTGGGGAGAGCTGGCTCTGGGGTGCTTCTAGGTCATCCTGGTGATGGGGACCTGGCATGGTGCTCCCAACACGGGGGGCTGCTTCTCCACCAGCTTATCCCCTCAGCCGGACCTGGGCCACAGAAGCCTTAAGAACTGGTTTTTTTTGCAAGGTAGCCAAGGGCAGGGGCTTTGCAGGTCTGTTTCTGGCACCCAGCCCTTTCAGATAAACTCTTAACTAGCTTTCTACACTGGGGCTGACCATAGGATTCCCCGATCGATAGTGGGGAATACAGTGCCCTAAATTGGGAGGGAGATATGGCCATGGCGAGACGCAGAAACAACCCCACCCTTTTGGACGTTTGAATAAAACCAGTATTTCTGGAGCCCTTTGTAAACTGTAATTGGCCATACAAATAGAGGTGGGTTCTCTGTATGTACACACGTGTTTGCAGGTAAGCGTGTACACATGTGAACGCATTTAGCCGTCCCCCGAGGTTTGGGGTGAGGTGTGAAGTTCTGAGATTGGCTGGCGTTCTCTCCGTTGTGAGAACTGGGGAGACAAGTGTGCAGCTATGCTTGCTTCCTCCGGCGTCCGGAGACACATCCATTAGACGTTATCAGTCTGCACGTCTCACACGCAGATGAGAGATTTTGCCTAAAATCCCTGTGAGAACCATTAGAGCCTGGTGTGTGCCTGGGGTGGGGAGAGGGGTGTGGGGGCTAAAGCTGGTGGATTAAGTCTCTTGTCCCCGCCCACTCCTGGAATCCCTGTGTGTGGTTCTGGGGTGTAGTCTCAGACACATTCTTCCTTATAAAATCTCTGCAGCCTGGGTATTTTTTATATGACCTTATTTCATATCGTATCATCGTGGTGTCTTTCTGGGTTGATAAAAATCACATTTGTCTCTCAGCAGAATGGGGAAAAGAGGGTATTTCCTTTTGGAGCATCTTTCCTGGTTCCTTTCCCTCCCCCATCACCTTCCTCCCCTTTTTTAATGGTATTTGGAAACTTGGGTGGGTTTTCTTCTAAACCTGTTACCATCTTTCTGAGGGGTGTGTAATTGAGGTTCTGAGGCAAACTCCTCAGTAGAAAGATGGCATGGTGAACATTGCTGTTCGTGTACAGAGAACAGTCAGACGACAACAGAAAGTTCCAGATGGGTTCGTTTGACGATGTTTCAGTGTCTAAAGCACATCAGTTGGGTGTCTTGTTGCTACACCCATGTGGTGATAAATCCTTCTGACCAAGCCTGCAGTTTCCTTCCATTGCAAGCCGTGCCAGGACTTACTGACCAGGAAGCAACTGACAAGGAAGTAAACGACAGGCAGGCAAGGGCGAGCAGTGCGTTTAGGACCTTGTAGTTCACCTTGTCCTCCTCCCAAGAACCTTTATGAGGCATCCCTCCATTTCATGGGCAAGGAGACTAAGACACGGAGAGCCCTAGGAGCTTGGCCAAGGTCCGAGGCAGGGCTGGGGCCCTGCCTCAAACACTATTTATTTGACTCCGTGCTCTGTCCTCTCAGCCACTCTACAGCTTGCCTCCCAAAATTGTCCGATGATTCACTAAAATGCCCAGTGCCTCCCCATCGCTGGCAGAGGCTGTGTCAGATTAGGATGGCCGTTCGGTGGCTGAGGGTTAGTTAGGTACGAGTTACAGTGTGCGTGCAAAGTAATGGATGCTTCGGTATCCAGCGGTGGGACAGAAGAGCTTTCTGGGCCTGCCTTCTCTTACCCCAGGGCCAAGTGCTTGAAACCCTCCCAGCGAGCCCTTCTGAGATGGCGGGCTCACAGCAGGTGTTTGTGAACAGTGTTCGCTTTGCTCCTACAAACCTTCCTGTAGACACAGGGCGGGGGGACTCCCAGCGGGACCGCCTGGGATTTGACCCCATCCGCACCCACAGCTTGCCTTCCTTCTGAGAGACCCCTTCCATTCGTTTTCCTGGAACTTTGAACCAAAGCCCGATTACCTGCTTGCAGAAAAGAGCACCAGTGACTTGGCGTCTCTGGCGGTTGGCACTTTGGTCGAGTGCCTTTGGGTGGAAGGAGGTAGGGGAGCAACAGCGAAGTGTCTTCAATGGTTTCTTTTCTGAGCATGGGTTGTGGGTGTCGGTGTGGTGGGTGAGGACAGCTGTTGAGTGCCTGCTGGTGTCCGTGCATTACACGCTCTCCGAGAGGTGAGTCACTTAATCTGGGGAGCAGGGCCAGAACCGGAGCCCTCGGATGCAGCCTCTCTGCAGGGTCAGGGGGTTTCTCCCAGCCCACCTAGCTGACCATTTTTAGGACTGACCCCGCAGGTCACCCTATAGGCTGGCGCTCGCTCACTGCCCTCAGCAGCTGGCCTCCTGGTTGTCATTTGCTTTGCTGTATCTACTGGTCAGCGTGCATGATGGGCCGGGACAGCGGTGTGACTGGCCGTGGACAGTCAGCGCTCAGCGCAGGTGCTCCTCAGGGATGTGGACTCCGGCTGCCCAGTCCAGACTCACCCCCCGGCCATGCCCAGCCCCAGCGCCGGTGCTCCTCTCTCCGAAATGACTCTGCATTTATGTGCTCGTACTCCGTCTCTTCCCCAACCCGGACCAGGTGCTCGCCCATGCAGGGACGGTGGCCACATAATGCTTGGCGCTTGCGGGGCACCCAGCACGTGTGTCCGTTGGGTGAATGAGTGAATGCGGTGACAGGAGTTGAGGGTGAGCTCCCAGAACTTGGGGACTTTCTGTGAGCTCTTGCTCAAGTGTCAGCGTTAACCCTGGATGACGCTTTTAGCCTAAGCTCCATCCCCCTCCCTGCATAAACCACAGTCAAGGGGTTTATAGTCTCTGAACCCAGCCGTCTTTCACCCTTCGACGTAGGGAACATATGTGTATCCCCTTAAACATGCGTATGTGGACATCCGAATACATGCGAGTATAAAATCTTTGGCGGGGGGGGGGTGGTCGAAAAGAAGTTACAATGTTACACATGTGTATAAGATGAAATGAAACACATAGGAACTTTTGGGAAAACTCGGTGTTAATGCTGTTGAGGGAGAGGAGGAGAGAGCAGAGCGTCAGAGAGTGTGGTAGGAGAGGTAGGAGGAGGCACTCTTCTTCCGTGGGTTAATAAAGGTCTGCAGAGAAGAAGAAACAGAGGGCCTGGGGGGGAACTGAGGCAGGGGCAGGTGATGATAGCATGAAGGCATTTGAGATCACCTGTGGGTTTAAAAAAAGAGCGGGAGGGGTGAAGGAGAGTAAGACTCACAGGTTTAGTCAAAAGGTTTCTTTGCTCTGAGACCCGGGAGTGCCAGGAGGGAGGGATGGCTGCGGCCCCTCTCGCAGTTTTGCTGAATCTTGTACGAGAAGCCAAAGGAATGGGGAATGGCTTCTGCTTTGTCGAATAAGAGAGTGATGACTTATTTGGGTTTGAGATTCAACTTGAATCCTTGGCTTAAGATCTTTCCTCTGCCATGTCCATGTGGTTTTTTTCCTCCCAAAGGATCGACTGCCAGGGATTTGTGCCTAGGATGACTTGATAGTAGAACTAATCCCCCATTTGATAAATCGGTCAGCCTCTGTCTCCACTTACTTGGCATGAGTCCATCACAAGTATCCCATGCACGTGCACAGCTGGGGTGGTGGACAGAGGAAGGGAGGGAGAGAGTGTGTGTCCGCTGGTCCCCGCCTGTCCGGATACTCTTGGGAGCAGTGGCATGGTGGAGAAATCAGATACGAGAGAGGAGAGCCAGAGTGGGCTTGGGCGAAGGATTAGTAGATTGAATGTTGTTTTCGGGCTTAAGTGAGCAAGCAGACTTCCCTCGTGAGTCACCTGCAACTGCCACAGCGCAAACAGCAGGGTCTGTCTTGTGTCCCTCCTGGTTTTCAGGAAGGCCATCACCTTTCTCTTCTTGCTCCTTGGACTCAAGAAAGCCCACTGGCGCTACTTTGCTCCATTTGTGTGCTCATCCTGGCCTGTTTTCTACAAACTTGTTTGTCTCCAGCCCCTGGGAGCTGGGGAATCCCAGTCAAGGGTTTTTGTGGCTCCTGAATGTCTCCTGGCTTCTGATGGCCTTTCTTCCTCCTCACTCTGCATGGAGAAGGTCGCCGATGGTCTAACACATGAAAGCAGCAGCCCCCTCCATGCTTTGTTTCCTTCCTCCTTGCCCACAGCCCACGGGTCCAGGGAGCAGCTCCTAGAATGACATGGTGGGTGTTGGCACTTGTGATCTCAGTTTGGTCACAGGCTGAGCATGGGACCGTGCTGGGGCGTCCAGTTTGGGGGGGGTGTGCCCTCCTTCAAGCCTGTGCCTCTCGGTGGCCTGGTGGCTCTCCTTCCTTTGCCATCTGGCACTTGCCTGCTTAGAAAGAGACAAGGCCCCTGTCTCAACCTGACTTCTGCCTACATCTTTGGTTTAGTCTCAGTAGCTTTGCCTGCATCCACGTGGCCAGTGTCCGGGAAGCAATGGCACGTAGCTGACCGGGAGAGCTAGCCTGACTGTGGCAGCCGGCAAGCCCAGGCAGGATTGCGGGGCTGGGTGGGAGAGGGCAGGTGGCCGGTCTCATGCTCCCAGCGGGCGGCCGCTGGCACTCTTGTCATCAGGATGCTGGAGTCCCCTTAGAGTCTCAAGGGAAGACACCAGCCAAGGAAATACTATACCTTAAATGTCCAGAACAGGGTTCTTTGGGTTCCTTTCTTAAAACTCAGGGGAAACCTCTCTCCCTGGTGTTTTATCTTGTATTGAAACACCTCCACTACTGTTAACCTCACCCTCATTGGTGTTGGTGGGGGGGGGGTCCCTTCCTTATGCACCCCCACAAAGTGCTTTCTCCTGTGGGGTTCATAACGGGGTTCCTGGATGGGTTTAGGGCCCTCAGGGATCGGGCTGTATCTGGGGTTGGGACAGCCCTTGCCACCCATGACCTGAAAGCAAGATGGAGACATGTAACTGGGTAGGGGGGGGAGGGTCCTCTGGTCAACAGGGGACGGTCTCAGCCCCACTAGACTGTCAAACACCCGGGGTTTTGAGGTGGGAATGAAATCACAATTTCTGCAGAATTTGCCAGTTCGCTGTGGGCCAGGGATTTTGTTCATCTGTGTGCACTGCTCTGTGGCTAACCCCCTTCTTTGCTCCCCCACAGCCTGTGGGCCGAAGCTGACCAACTCCCCCACCGTGATCGTCATGGTGGGCCTCCCAGCCCGTGGGAAGACCTACATCTCGAAGAAGCTGACTCGCTACCTCAACTGGATCGGCGTGCCCACGAAAGGTGAGGCCACAGGCCCGGGCCATGGTCCCATTGATTTCTGCCGTCTTGCTCACCGACCCCTGACACCGGGAAAAAGTGGCTGCTGGGACCTTGCAGGGCCGCTGTGGGGCTGGCCTGTCCCCTGTGGTTGTGAGAGTCCCTTCCTGGCTGTGTCACTCACCACGCTGTCTCCATTCCCTGACTTTGTGTTGGGATGTTTTCCCCCTGCTGCTCTGTCGTCCCCCACTGCCCTGCCAGCCGCCCAGCTCAGCTCTCCCCTCCTTCAGGAAGCCTTCTCTGGCCACAGAGTCTGTGGGGATCTGTGCCTCTCAAGTTCCAATAGCACTTTGTTGTGACAGCCTTCCGTTGACTGTCATGGGCTCTATGCCTTGTGCTCTATGCTGTTGGTTACCTTTTTATGACTGGTCTTTCCAACAACACGGCAAGGGTCATGGGGTCAGCTGAACTCATTCTGGCATCTGCTGTCCCCCACGGTGCCCAGTGCCATGTGTCTTCAGTGAGTGCCCGCCAGTGCTCTGTGCTTCTGCCGGGCATGGGCTGCTGGGTCAGCAGGAGAATGGCCGACCTGGACCCTGCAAGCAGCGTGAGACCCCATGCTCTGCTGGGGACCGGGTGCAGAAATCCTTGCCCTGTCACCCCTTTGCACGGCTTCACGAAGCTGGACCGCCCCAGGGCAGTGGAAAACCAGCTCTGGGAAAGCGGGCCACCCTGAGCAGCACTGGGTCTGGGCTGCCTTCCCGACTCTCGGTCCTGCCAGTCGGGGTCTGCTTTCCGGTGTCCCTGTCCTAGTGCCATCGTGCTCAGGTTGGCATTGGTGTGTTGGCGTGGTTTCCTGTTTTCGAGAGAGCTCCTGATTGTGTATGTGGCTCCCTCGTCCCTGGGGCTCAGCGGAGGGTCCTTGTGTCTGCCTCTGCAGTGTTCAACGTTGGCGAGTACCGCCGGGAGGCCGTGAAGCAGTACAGCTCCTACAGCTTCTTCCGTCCCGACAACGAGGAAGCCATGAAAGTGCGCAAGTAAGGCCCAGTGGCTGCAGGGGCCGGGACGTGGGTCTGCGCTGCTCCCCGAGGGCAGCTCAGCAAGAGAGGGGGGACGAGGGCGGGGGAGGAGGTCCAGGCCCACCTCCACCAGCCAATTAGCATGGGCCTCGGCCTCTGTGAGCCTCCGGCTTCCTCTGCTCCCGGGGGTCCGGTTCAGCGGGCGGCAGACAGAGGTCAGCGGCCATGTGGCCCTGAGAGCAGGGCTGTGGGGCCGGGGCTGGCAGCTCAGCGACAGAGTGGCCGGTCGCTCTGTTGCTTACGATGATGGGGGGCCGCTTGGGCCTCCCCGCGGGCCGGGCTGGTCTGAGGCGGGCGCTCTCTCTCTCTGTGCTGCAGGCAGTGCGCGCTCGCCGCCTTGAGGGACGTCAAAAGTTACCTGACCAAGGAGGGGGGCCAGATTGCGGTGAGTCTGGGGAATCGCCAGCTCTGTCTCCTGCGCAGTAGCCGGATGGTGCCCTGGAGGGAGGGAGGTGTAGACACAGGGCAGAGCAGTGCCCAGAGCCACTGCAGGGACCCCTCCAACAGGGACAGGGGCCCCCATCCTGAGAGTTTGGGGAAGCGTGTGGCTGGAGCGGCACAGGGACCCAGGAAGGTAGTGAACTGGGTGCAGACTCGGGCGGGGCTGGTTGGTGTGCTCTGCTCACCCCTCCGTGCGGACCCTACCCGCCCAGGCAGGCTGGGCCTGGGTCGCTCCCGCCATGGCAGCGGGTGTCCCTTCCGTGGGCACCCTCCCCTGTGTGATGCTGGTGTTCGTTTGCTTTAGGTCCCCTTCCCACCCTCCTATCTGTCCCCGAGGGCCGGGGGCACCTCTAGAAGGCCAGGCGGGGGTGGGGGCAGGAGCACGGGGCGTGGTCTGTCCTGGAACCAGTTTTGGCTCACACCTAGAGGTGACAGGCCCGACCTACTTGTGCTTTGGTAAATACTATTCATCTGACACCTGGGCTCTTCTCTTCACTGCCCTTGTTTCTCCCCATCAGGTTTTCGATGCCACCAATACTACCAGAGAGAGGAGACACATGATCCTTCATTTTGCCAAAGAAAATGATTTCAAGGTGAGCCAGACTCCTTGTCTTGCTCTGGAGTATGTAGGAGCAGGGAGAACACGCACCTCGGGGACGGGCTGATTCCTGTGTCCGGGGCCCCTGGTTCTTTACCTCCCACTGCCCTTGCTCTGCTGCCTGCAGGTTGGGTCTCACTGGTGGGGCTCTGAGGAGTTACTGTGGGAAACGGGGAGTGTGGCGGACTCGGGATTGAGCAAGTGGTTCATTTTATGTGTTTGGGTGTTTATAAATGGGGTCCTTCCTCCTCGGATGTGGTGACATCAGAGTGACACCAAAGTCCGCCCTTCGTGTTAATCACATTTGTTGTTTCCTAACTTTTCGCTTTGCTTCCTTCCAGGTGTTCTTCATCGAGTCTGTGTGCGACGACCCTATGGTTGTAGCCTCCAACATCATGGTAAGAGCGCGTAGGACCCCAGTCTAGGGCAGCAGTGAGAGAAAAGTGGGGACCAGGGCCCAGAGCAATAACCAGATGCTGAGAGCGGAGGGCTCTCGCAGCTTGTTGGTTTTGTGTAAGAGGTGGGGTCCAGGGAGGCAGGAAGTGGTATTTAACTTAGAAGCGTGTTCTCTTAACCGGACTGGCTTTATCTGGGCTCCTTGCAGACAGTTGCCAGAAAGCAGTCTTTGTGGGACATAAGAGATGAAGCAGGGGACTGGGCACAGTTTCGTGAGTGGCAGTAGCTTGGCAGCCTTGGGGGGGACAGGGGCAAAGGGCAGCTTACCCCTCCAGATGGGGAAGGAGGCAGTGGGCTGGACTCTTTAGCTGTTAATGACCAAGTAAAACTCCGTAGGACGCGGCCCACTTCAAAGGCAGAGCCACCAGCTGTGGGAAGAATGGAGGCAGTAGAAGTCTTCCCGCTTCTGTATCTGTGACATTCCCTTCTCTCCCGGTGCCGAGGGGGAGGTTTGCCCAGATCAGCTGAGGGTAATTGTCGGCTTAATTTGATCAATTCTTAAATTCTGCCGCTTGAGAGCAATACATCCTAAATGGAAACAGTTACCACGAGGACTTTACCACAGGTCGCCTTCCCAAGGAGACCGTTTTCTCTCCAGCTTAAACACGGGAGAATCCGGCGTGTTTCTAATGAGAAGCAGTGCTGATGCTCGTCCAGGGGGACGCTCCGGTTGGCTGTACGCAGAGTGGCTGGAGAGTCTCTGGCTTCTGGCACTGGAACGCTTCTCCAAGGCGGTGGGAATACTTACGAGCGTTTCTAGGAAATGAGTTTATGTTTCAGGAAGGGCTCTTCAGACTGTGGACAGTCTGTCGGGATTAGTTCAGTGTGTCCAAAGGAGGAGGCGCAAAATTACGGGGACGTAGGACAGAAGTTGCTGTGATCCGAACAAAGGGTTTTGCTGTGTTTCTTGGGTTTGGTTCTGCCATTCTGCTTGGTAGCGAGGCCCCGGGCAGGTACACAACTAAATTTTCCACAGCGAGTGTCCCCACGTGCTCCGCGGTGAGCTCGCCGCTTACCTCGTGCTCCACTGAGACACCTGGTCATTTGCCCCATTTCAGAAACCCGGGGCTCTGCTTCAGCCCCGGAGCAGGGCTTAGGCCCTTCCATGGCACTCTTTGTGGTGGCCGTGCTAGGGGGAAAGGGATCTGGGAACTTAGATCGTTTTTCACTGTGGTAAAATATCCAGAAGACCAAACTGGCCGTCTGACCCGTGTAAGTGTGCCAGCGTGTGGGCATTCAGCATGCTCACACCTCCCTCGCTGCGGTCACCCCGCCTCCCCTCCCCACCAGCCCCCGATGGGCAGAATGTTTCATCTTCCCAGACTGAGACTCTGCACCGTGAAGCACTAGTCCCCCACTTAACTTGGGTTTTTGAAGAGTGCCAGCCTCTCTCGTGGCAGTGCTAGACGTTGTAGGGGAAAAGAACACCTGCGTTAACAAATTCTGAGTTTGCCTCCAATCTGTCCCGTTGCTCAGCCCTGTCACTTATCGGAGATGGTGGGTCTGAGGGTCATTTTTGCTTCACTTCCTTCCCAGGAGAGCAAGCCTTCGAAAGGACGGGGTGTGTGGTCCAGGTGGAGAAGCCTAACTGGGGACCAGTTACAAGCCTGTGGTGCCCCACATGGGTGGTGGCAGGAAGGCTGCTAAGTAGCAGCCTGCTGTTGGTGTGGGGAACGTCTCAGATGCTTATCCCGAACTCGAATTGAGGGTTGGCAGTCTGGTGGTGACCTGGCTACTGGGTCGATCCGGAAGCGTGGCCCATTCAGATGTGTTCATTAGAATCCTTGTGGGTTTCCTGTCTCCATCCTTCCGGAGAGCGATCCTCTGTCTCCCCTGGGTGCTTCCCAGTGTAATCATCAGGCTCTGACTCAACCCCTGGTGTATTTCTTTTTTTCCTCTTAAATGCCGTGTACGGTCATCATTATTCTGAGCTGCTCTGTACTTTCCCGGTTTGCAAGCCTCAAATCCTGCTTCGTCTAAGCAGAAAGCCTTCACAGCATGATTCATCAGCTGCCTCTTTGTGGTGTTACAGGAGGTTAAAATCTCCAGCCCGGATTACAAAGATTGCAACTCAGCGGAAGCTATGGACGATTTCATGAAGCGAATCAGTTGCTATGAAGCCAGCTATCAGCCCCTCGACCCCGACAAATGTGATAGGTAATTCCTAAGATGTGACCGTTTCTGAGTCCCCTGCTTTAGTGTTTTCTTGCCGTCCCCACAAAGTGCTTGCTCCTGGATACTTTCATCAGCTCTTTTATTTATTTATTTATTTTTAAGATTTTATTTATTTGAGAGAGAGAGCATGAGAGGGGTGAGGGGCAGAGGGAGAAGCCGACTTCCTGCTGAGCAGAGGGCCTGATGTGGGACTCGATCCTGGTACTCCAGGATCATGACCTGAGCCGAAGGCAGTTGCTCAACCAACTGAGCTACCCAGGCGCCCTTTCATCAGCTCTTTTAAAACCTCTTTAGAAAAAAATCCTTGGGTGCCTGGGTGGCTCAGTCAGTTAAACGTTTGCTTAACTCAGCTCAGGTCATGATCGCAGGGTTGTAGGATCGAGTCCCGCAGCGGGTTCCCTGCTCAGCAGGGAGTCTGCTTCCCCTTCTCTTTCTGCCCCCTGCCCCCTGCTCATTCCATCTCTCTCTAATAAATAAATGAAATATTTTTGAAAGTAATATAGAAACTTTCGATTGCATGTCCGGAGTCAGTGTTTCAGGCGCTCACTGTGTCCGGGTGTGGAAGGTGGATGCTGAGCCCAGTCTTGCTTCTGTCCCTTTGCTGTGTCCTTTCTATTCTGTTCTGTCGCTTGGCTGGCCCCCTCTTCTGGGAGGCAGGGGCCTCGCGACCACGCGTGCGGGCCGGTTCTGTGTCCGAGACAGCAGACGCCGCGTGGGCCCTCACCGAGCTCACAGCCGGACGTGGGGGTTCTCCGGGGCTGAGTCTCCGCCACCGGCTTCCGGCCGGGGCCTGCGGGGTGGGGCTGCGCCGTCCGGGGACCGCGGGTCATTGCCGTGCCTTCCCCTGCAGGGACCTGTCCCTGATCAAGGTGATCGACGTGGGCCGGCGGTTCCTGGTGAACAGGGTCCAGGACCACATCCAGAGCCGCATCGTGTACTACCTGATGAACATCCACGTGCAGCCCCGCGCCATCTACCTGTGTCGGCACGGCGAGAGCGAGCACAACCTCCAGGGGAAGATCGGAGGGGACTCGGGCCTGTCCAGCAGGGGCAGGAAGGTAGGGCAGCGGGGGCAGGGCGCGCTGCGGAGGGACCCGGTGGGTGTCGCATGCGCATGCGCACCTCTGGGGCGGGGCGGGGCCTCCGGGGTCCTCGGGGAGGGTGCGGCTGCGGGGGTGGGCGGGGGGCTGCTCCTCGGTGGCTCCCGGGCTCGTCCCCGCTGTTCTGATGGCAGCAGAGAGATGTCCCCGTTGTGGAGTGGGACGCGTCCGGTGGGGGGCAGGGCAGGAGCCTGAGTCCAGCCCGGGTCCCCCTGTCCTGCGCCCTCTCAGTTCGCGAACGCCCTCAGCAAGTTCGTGGAGGAGCAGAACCTGAAGGACCTCAGGGTGTGGACCAGCCAGCTGAAGAGCACCATCCAGACGGCCGAGGCGCTGCGCCTGCCCTACGAGCAGTGGAAGGCGCTCAACGAGATCGACGCTGTGAGCGCCCGACCCGACCTCGGCCGTGGGGTGGGGGGGTGGGGCGGTCTCCTCCTGTCGGGCCACCTGGAGTCAGAGCCCTGGCAGACGCGCACGTGCTGCTGTGCGGGGCGGGGGACCCTCGCCGTGACCTCTGCGTGTCCCCTCAGGGCGTCTGTGAGGAGATGACATACGAGGAGATCAAGGACACCTACCCCGAGGAGTACGCCCTGCGGGAACAGGACAAGTACTACTACCGCTACCCCACGGGGGAGGTACGTGCGCCTGCTCCCCACTGGCCCACAGCGGGTGCGGGGGCCCGGGCGGCCGCCCCCCAGTGACCAGGCGCAGCAGCTGCGAGCTCTGGGAGGTGGGGCGGAAGGGCTCCTGCGTCCGGCCTCCGCCGTGCCCCTTCCATGTGTGTTCCTGGCGCTGTCCCCGCCGATTGTCATCCTCCGGAGAACCTTGCACACAGCTCCGGGAGCAGCGCACTTTGTTCTCCCGGGAGCAACGGCCAGAGGTGTTTCTCTGATGAGACCCTCATGGAGCAGGAGAGGACAACAGTTGGGCGATCATTCGCTCCGCACAAGGGACCCCCCCTTGGGTACAGATGAGATGGTGGACGTGTCATCTCAGGTCACGTGCACTCATTGAATTGATGCCACGTGTGGCCCTGTCTGGCCGTGTGAGCGCTGGACGGAGCCTCTTGGACGGATCCTCTGGAATGTGCCCTCAGGCTCTGCTTCAGGCTGCTGGGTGACACCTAGTGGGTCCTTGCTGTCTGCAGGCTGTCTCAGTCTTTGTCATGTCTCTGTTCCCGCGTGCTCAGGGTGCTGACCTCCTCTGTGGCCCTGGCCCCGTTTCTGGAACCTGATTAGTAAGAGAAAGAGAGTGGGCCATGGAGGGAGTGGCGTGAGTGAGAGCCTTGGTGGTCTTTTTTAAAAGCCACAGGCCAATCGTTTGTTTTTCAATTTCTTTTTATTGAGAAGGTCCCATAACGTAAACTTTGCCATTTTAAAGTAGATGATTCAGTGGCTTTTAGTATATTCCCAATACTGTGGAACCATTATCACTAATTCTAGAACATTCTATCATTTCACAAGAACCCGCAGCCTGTGACTCCTTGCCCCTAGGCCCCGGCAACCACGGATCTACTCTGTCTCCGGGGAGATGTCTGTTCTGCACAGTTCATAGAAATGGGGTCGTACAACACGTGGTCTTTGGCGTCTCCACACGTTGTAAGCACATGTCAGGATGTCATTCCCTCCGCCCCCCTGTGGAGGATCGGGAAGCAGCCAGGAGAGAGGATGGTTTACATTTCTCTCAGAATGTCCAACAGGGGGACGATCCCCTTTCCTGAGAAGCCAGTGGGTCCCCCGGTGCCCAGAAGGGAGGCACAGTGGAAGCACCACTGGCTGGCGACCGGTGCTCAGTTGATTCCATGTCCTCTGGTTTCTGACCACAGAAGAGGTGTGACTCAGGTGGCCGAGCTCCTACCCTTCCCGCATGTGCCTCTGCTCCAATTCAATGTCCTTGTCCCTCTGTCTTGCAGTCCTACCAGGACCTGGTCCAGCGCCTGGAGCCGGTGATCATGGAGCTGGAACGCCAGGAGAACGTGCTGGTCATCTGCCATCAGGCCGTCCTGCGTTGCCTCTTGGCCTACTTCCTGGATAAGAGTGCAGGTGCCACCGACCTTCTAGGCTTCCTCTTGGTGGGGGCTGGGATTAGGAGCCTGTCGGGCTCCCCAGAAGGGAAGAGGGAAACTGGCCTTGGAGTGTGGGGTGCTGCAGACCCAGACCTTCCCCACCCAGACCACACGGTCGTCTGCTGTGCTGCTGAGTGTGAGGGGAAACAACGCGGCGCAGGGCTTCCTGGCCAGCCCTCGGGAGATCCTTCAGAACCCGGTTCTATGCACAGTCTGATGGGCCCAAGGGCTTTGTGAAACAGCCTCCCAGGATAGCTGCTCACATCCCGGGGGCTTTGGGCCAGGGGTTGGGTCCACCTCTAAAGAACAAAGTGCCCAGAAAATTCGTGAGACTTAAAATTTAAGCCTGTGTCTACCCAAGCGTCACCGAATCCCCATGCACTTAAACTGGGGAATGACTTTTTTTTTGAAAATTCTAATGCATTGTGTGAGAGTGGGTTTGGGGTTGGTTTTGATCACGTTCTTTGGGCTAGGTGCCTGCCTGGAGCAGGAGGGGGCCTTGTGTGGGGTGGAGACGCTTGTGCTTGGCGGGGACCCCGCGGGTGCTGATGCCATGGCAGAAGCTGTCCCTGGGGACCGGCGAGTGTCTGTCCTCAAGGCTCATCTCTCATCGTGGGGCCCTTACGCTTCTTTTCAGAAGAGATGCCTTATCTGAAGTGCCCCCTTCACACCGTCCTCAAACTGACACCTGTCGCTTACGGTGAGTGTAGTTACGTGACCCGTGCCGCACCCAGCTCCCCTGGGATGGTGGCTCCTGGTTGCTCCAGGGCTGGAAGTGTCTTGGCCTCTTGCCCTGGAAGCCAACCCCTGTGCCCACCCCCCTCAGGCTGCCGTGTGGAGTCCATCTACCTGAACGTGGAGTCGGTGAGCACACACCGGGAGAGGTCAGAGGTGAGTGCACCCCACTGTCCCGCGGTCATCCTCCGTCCTGGGGGGTCTCTGTGGTGTGACAGGGCTAGCGGCTGCGATCCCTAGGGAGGCCCCCACATGGCGTGGCCTGTAGCCATGCACCTGTGTCCCCTTTAGCCCCAGGTTCTTGCTGGAGTGGTTTGTTTGGAATCGGCCGGTCTTTGTGACGTCCTCCCCTGCCTTTCCTTTTCAGCCGTGTGTGTGTTCCCGCTCTGTCTTTATATGTGGCTTCTTGCCTGCTTCTTTTTCTTACTTTCCACGCTTTCTGCCCCCACTTTCGACGTGACCCAGGAAGTGGGTATTAAGGCGGAAGACACAGTTCCCTCTTGTGAGTGTAATTGTAGCCCAGCCAGTGTCTTTTCCTTTGGGGTGGCTGAGACACCTTCTGTGTCCTAGAGTGACTGGTGCAAACAGGATTAGCAAATTGCTCAGTCATCTTGCTGCAGAATGAGCAAGAAGATGAAAGTCGTGGCAAGGGGGTGGGGTTGGACAGGCGCTGTGGTTTGGGAAGTAGGGATTCTAGGGACAGTGGGTAGAAGGTTTCATCAGGAGACCCCAGGCCTGGTGGCATCTGATTTCTCAGGGAAGCAGCCAGGTTGGGGCCCCCCACGGTCAGAGCAGACCGCCGCCCGGGCGTGGTTGGGAAGGAACATTGGATTTGCTTTCCACTGACTGTCAAACCATGACACTTCGCCAGGTGACCCTTTCTCTTCCATGGAGTGTGATGTTCCTGTCTGTGCAGGACACCCACCTCCCTGTTCCCAGGGAGCTCGGCCAGAAGATTTTGGCATGAAAAATCCCACCTTCCAGCAGCCATTGCCTGGCTGGTGGCCTGAAGGGGAAGGAGGATGGACGGCCAGCCACGGCCCTGTGACGGCCCCCACTTCTGAACCTGGGCAGTGGGGTGAGAAGCAGCCTCCCAGCCTGACTCAGCTGGCGGGGCTGGGCTGCAGCTGGGCTCTGGTGCTTCCCGAACCCCTCATTGTGTGGAACGGGGCCGTGTCGGGAGGGACACAGGCCTCCACTCAGGCCCCTCTGCAGGCTGCAGAGTCTCGGGGCCTTGGGACAAAAGTCCTCCTTCCCGTTGCATTGTCACTTGATCCGAAGGCTGGCATTTGGCTCTGGCTCTGCCGTTTCTGCCCACCTCTGATTTTCTGCTTCTTTGGTCTCCTGGTGGGGGTTGAAGCTTGCATTTCTTGTCCTCAGCCAGGGTGTAGTAATGGGGAGCAGGAGACCACCCCGTCTGCTGTGTAACCTCAGCTCGTGGTCAGCGGGGGGAGCTGACCCCTCCCCCCTCCCCCCTCCTTTGTCCCCTCCCCCCCACCCCCTCCTTTGTCCCCTCCGTGGGGACCCGAGCCTCGCACTCAGGCCTCCGCTTCCCTTTCTCGGCTCTCTTGAAGGCTGGCAGCAAGGTTCTTTGCTCCAGTCTCATTACCTGCCGCGCCTGAATGACTGTCTGCAGAGCTGTCCGGCCCTCACCTGCCTTGCAAATGTCGCATTGGTCCGAGTGGACATCTTGGAATGTTTTGGCCGGGAGGGGCTCAGCACGCGCCCTCAGAACAAGCACCCTCCCTCGTTCTCGCTATCTGGGAGTCACAGGACCAAATCGCGACCCTGTGGTCCCAGGGCTAGTGACCATGGTCCGTTTCGAATCTGTAAAATCCAGAAGCAGAGAAACGTGTTTTGTTCGGTTTTGGGGGTTTTTGTTTGTTTGGTTGGTTTTTTGGTTTTCTGGTTTTTGGCTTATTTACCTCCCCACTCCTTGTAACTGTCGCCTTCTCTCTTTTGTCTTTGTCTCGCTTAGGACGCAAAGAAGGGACCTAACCCGCTCATGAGACGCAATAGTGTCACCCCACTAGCCAGCCCTGAGCCCACCAAAAAGCCTCGCATCAACAGCTTTGAGGAGCATGTGGCTTCGACCTCCGCTGCCCTGCCCAACTGCCTGCCCCCGGAGGTGCCCTCCCAGCTGCCCGGACAAGTGCGTTGACTCCTTTCCTTTCTCACAGCCAGTGTGGGGCGGGAGGAGAGCCCCCGTGGGCAGTGGCGGCCTCAGACCAGGCCTGCGTGTGTGGGTTGGGGAGGGGGACAGCACATGGACACACCCCACCCACAAGGTTCGTGGCACCCTGGGGTCCTTCCTCGCCGGCCACGGCTGCACACACGTGCCTCCTTTCTGAGGAGCCGTTCTTCACGGGGCAGAGCTGGGCAGAGTAGAAGAAATGGCCAAGTGTCTGTGTCCCACACACATTCCTGAATACTTTTTTCTCAAACAAAATGGAAGACGAAGGCCTAGTTCAGGAGTGTCCCTTCAGCTCTGGGTCACGGGCCACACATGGCCCGAGGATGCCTTTTCAGTCCCAGGCCGATAGTCGAGGAGCTTCCTTACATGCTCCCTCTCAGGCCCTGTTGTACAGAAGCATGTTCTCCTCCAGAGCCGGGGTAGAGCCCGGGCGGCCACGTGCGCAGGGTGGCCCGGGGAGGGCCACCTTCTCACACAACACGGGTGTCACGGAGTACCAGAAAGCAAAAACCCAGCTAGCTTTCACTTGTTGGGTTTGCTGTGAAGAGGAAAAGCTGACAGATGGTGGCCCTTGGGCATTAGGATTTATTTTCAGAAGAGCAGTCTTTTCTCTGTGGCAGCCAGGACTCTGCCAGTCTGTGAGACCTAGCAGTCCCCAGGCGTGGATTTGAGGGCCACCTCGAGATCGCCGCCCTCCTCCCACCATGTCTGGGCTCTTCACAAAGAAGTCGCAGGCTGAGGCTCATTTAAATCTCGTGGTGTCTGCCCTTGGCGTTGTGCAGTGGGGTGGGGAGTGCCGGGCCGCCTCAGGCAGGCCACCGAGCCTCTTCAGGCCTCAGTTTTCCCATCTGTGGAATGGGGAAAGAGCACCTACTACAGAAGGCGGTTCAGACGGGGTCCTCCGTCCTGATCGTCTCGCACGCTGGTGTCCATCTCTGCCCCGGCTTGTAAGATGTTACCTGGTCTTTTTATGAAAACTGAGAACTGAAGTGGTTTCTGGGTGACGTTTAGTTTTGGTGTGAATTATGGGGTCACAGTTGGAAGTTAAGAGGCCGCTGCCACACGTACTTGGGGGGACTGGCCCAGGCTGGCGTTGGGTGGCACCTGGGGCTGTGCTGCAGGGTCACAGAGGACTTCCCTTACTTTGACAGGACAGTCCTTCGAGGTTCAAAATCCTTAGAGTCTGGCAGCTATCAGGTGGGGCCCGACGGGAGGGTCCACAGGGCTTCATCCCAGCAGAGAATGTCCTGGTTTCAGATGACTCGGGGCCTCTACGCTGTCCCTCTACTGACTTCTCTCTCTCTCTCCACTTTTTCTCTCTGCAGCCTTTGCTAGGGAAGGCCTGTTTGTAAGTATTTTTCTCTGGATGATTTTGCTACTCGCACCTCTTTCTCCTTGCTTGCCAGTTTGGCCTCCTGCCTGATAAAATGTGCAGGACGATGACACTGTTTGTCCTCTCTGACAGAGAAAGATGGCCTTGGGGGAGGCGGAGGGGGATTCATGAATTTTTAGAAAAAGAGGCAAGAAGCAGCCCGGCCCAGCTCTCTCCAGGGCGTCCTGCTGCCGCCACTTGCCACAGCCGGCTTCCTGTATGTCCCTCGGGCTCCCGGTTACTGCTGGTGCTTGCAGTGGTCCCGGCTTGACCTAAATCTGCTTTTTTCTGATTTTGGCACCAGGCTAGGTCTTATGCCTGATGCGTCGACTTTTAAGTCTTTTACCTGCCCTAGGAGAGGCCTTTCATGTTGAAAGGAAAAGTAACACAGAGCCTTGTCTGCAAAACAGAGGACAGACTCTGGTGGGGGGCACTGTGGTGGGTCTGCAACCCCGTAGGCTCTCCCTTCTGTCCGAGCAGAGACCTGCTCCCCTGGGCGCCCCAGGACCCTGGCACTCTGGAGGTCGGTTTGGGAACCACTTCCGTGGATCTGGTTGTCCTGTACCAGCATCTGCTTAGTCTCAAGGGTCATGACCGGAAGTGGGTGCACCGCTCGAATCAGACCCATTGGTTTCCCCTGTCCTTCGCCGGAGTTCTTCTGGAACCAGCTAGGTGTCCACTGGAGCAGAGCAGCTGCTAGAGAATTCAGAGTCTCCACTGCTGCGGTGGTCCCCACCACAGAAGGAGCCAAGGCCTTCTGTCTTGGAGTTCCATTAACAGGCACCATGATCTGTCCCCTTCCCCAGCCCTTCAGGTCCCACTACCTGCCCATCCTCCCTTTTGCTGGTTGGGTCACCTGAGTCATGGGTGCAGGAATGGAACTGGCTTGAGGAGCTCGGCCTGCAAGCTTGGAAGTGTGGCTCGTTCTTGGAAAATAGGTGTTTAACATCGTGCTTAGATTAGGTCGCCCCAATGGCGGCGAAATCGGTTTTGCGATCCTTTATGGCTCATGGAAAACGGACTTGCTTGCCTGTGTTCCATGTCTTTGGGCCTTAAAATAACTCCAGGAGGTCCATGGGGTAGTTTTATCCCTTTTTACCAGATGAACGAGGGTAACTCACTTGCCTGAGGCTGTCCAGCTGGTCGGTAGCAGAGCCAGGACATGAATGGGTCCTCTCCCTCTCCCGAAGGCTGACCGCCTTCTCTCTGCTGGCTTCTGGGGACAATCAGGTCCTGTTCACCTACCCCTGGCCTGGGCACCTGACGTTTGAGGCCCCTGGGGCACTGCTCAGAGCTGCTTGGATGTCCTTTTTAGTTTAGAAGGCTCTCCCATGCAGCTGCCCTCTGCAGCTAGGGTGTTTCCTTACTGGGGGGAATTCGGTCTTAAAGACCATCTGTCCTGTTCTGCTACCTCCCGGCAGCCAGGCACTGTAACCGAGGGCTTCTAGAGCAGGTGTTCTGGTGAAACTGGCCTTCGGATCTGGAGCCTTCTACTTCTGCATCCCGTGCATGTCTTGCTCCTTTTGAGCCGTGGCCTGGTGTGACCAGGGAAGAAACCTTCAGGCTGCAGGGTGCCCCTCGGACACATCCCCCTTCCTCCTAAGGTGAAACTTGCCCGTGTTTGTGGCTCATAGTGCCTTCGGCTGGAATCCCTCCAGTTCAGCAAAAGCATGTCCTCTGCACCCGTCCACCTGCATTCCACTCTGGGGTCCCAGTGTCCGGCCCTACCTGGGAGTGTGAGCCCACGTCCAAGGTCGCAGGTACCCACTTCCCAGTGCTCAAGTCCAACCGAGCCTGGTTTGGGTCTTGGTTTTACCACCCTCCATCTTTGGAATTCTGGGCAGTTCTAGCACTTCTACTTCCTTGTCTGTAACGTGGATGCAGGAATGGTACGTGGTGTTTTGGTCATGAGAATATAGATGCAGTGATCAGCAGAGTGGCCGGCGGTGCACAGTCCGTGCCCGACTGGACACCAGCCATTACCACGGCAGAGACAGTGCCCCGGGCTCCGCTGGGATGCCCGAGGCACTGCGTTTGTGCTCCTTCTGCATTTGGATGCCCCCCCGCCCCCGCTCCTTCTGCACAGGCCAGGGGGTTTCTTCTCATGAGCAGCAGGAGCACCGAGAGACGGGGCAGTGGGGAGAACCCCTGGGAGCTTCCGGGTGGTGGCCCGAGGACACTGGCCACCGTAGTTTCCTGGTGAAACAGGCCCTCCAGCCTGGTCAGATGCTGCACCTGCCGTCCTCCCCCTGGGGCGGTGCGAGTGCTCCGGCCGCAGGACCTCATGCATCCGTGATTTTTAAATTGCAAGTGCACACGTGACAAAGGAGATGCTACTAAAGATGTTTGTTTTGTTCTTTCCCAACATGTTCTTCCCTTCCCCCCACTATGCTTGAAAGACGAACTGTTTGTCACATTTTCTCAAAGTTTTCTCCTTACTAACCTTGGCAAGGTAAATGGCTCGGTGCATGTCCCTCTCTGTCCCCTCCACCTCTCCCTGGGTCATGGCATCTCAGCCTGTCGGGGCATCAGTCTGTGTGAGGACTGGCCATTGTCAAGTCTGTGACTCATGCACCCCATGCCGGAGAACTCGTGTTGTTTCAAAGCAGCACCATTGTCTCAAGGTCCTCCCTCTCTCTCTCTCTCTCCCTCTCATTTCCCTCCATATGGCCTGAGCCAGGGCACCATGTGTGAGTGATGTGACGTGCCCCGTGCCTGCACGCCCCAGTGTCATTGTTGCATCTGTCATCATTCGCGGGCGCTCGGAGCCGTGGGCGTGAGAGGTCCGAGAGCTGGGGGGGAGCCAGCTGCTGTGGGGGCCTGGGCAGCTCCTGGAGCTCCCATGCCATCAGTGGCAGGTTGCAAGGCTTAGAGGTCCTCCCGGGGAGATACCCACCCAACAGACACCGCCTTGTGAACCCACGACAAGAGGTGGTCTTCTCCAGGCGTCCCCACTGTGGGCCCTTGGTTCTGCACGGGAGCCTGGGGCAGAGGGGGCTGCCAGGGTCCCTGCACCCCTGTGTGCCCGGGTTCCACTCTCCCCTTCACCCCGCCCCCCGCAGAAGGTCTCAGCGGAGACAAGGATGGGAGAGAACACTTTGAAAAACCCGTGTTTCCTTTCTTGGCGGGGCGGGTGAAGGTTGGGCAAGAGCCCGCCACCATGCAGTGGTGGCTGCCATCTGGCCCCCGCTGACTGAAAATGCTTTTTAAGGGGATTTGATCCTGGTTGGCTTTATAGGGGTGGCACTTCCAGCAAGGATTGCTTTTGTTAGAACAGGAAGAGAGCTTGGTGGCACTGCCTGGCTTCCTTGTGTGCGTCCTCCCCGTGCCATCCCACCGGCCAGTGGCCCCCATGTTCTGGCTGCCGAGCCCATGCTCCTAGATAGAATCTGGCATCCAAGGGCCGGAGTGCACGATCTCCTTGGGGGAAGAGCCCTCCTGCCTCTCTGGAGGGCTCCTGGCCCATCTCCTGCCCGGCTGCAGAGCAGCTGGACTTCCCTGGGGGTAGGGGGCAGGTGGGGCAGGGGGGCAGTTTCATGGCTCTAAGTGAGCTGGAGGGCTCCTGGCGCTGGCGCTGGCGGTTGCCTGGAGCTTCCACCCACGAGGGCTGCCTGTTCTTCCCCGCCTCCTAGAGGCAGATGTCAGGCCTCTGCCCCAGGGGCCCTCGCCAGGGCCCTTCTCAGGGCGACGCTGGGCATGACTTCCACTGGTCCTAGAGCCCACCTGGGCTTTCTTCCACGTGTCTGGCGACAGTGCTCTTCTGGGTTGTGCTCTTTGTGTGACGGAGGGGGTCATCTCACCTGCATGGCTTTAGTCTTTGGCTTTAGAAGCCTCGTGGACAAGAAGTAATGATCCCTCTTCCTCGCCCTCTCTTCTCCTGGAAACAGAACATGAAAGGCGCCCAGAGCGGCATCGACGCGAGGACACACTGAGGCCGACCCGGCGGTTCCATCCCAGTTCCATTCCTGCAGCTTACTTAGTGCTTTTCCCATCTGCCCGCGGCCGGCGATCCCAAGGACTTCTGGAGTGGGGTGGGTGGTGTGGAAGAGGGGCCTGCTGCTCGGAGAGAACCGTGCCCCCGACCGTGGCGGGGCAGCCGAGACCCCAGGAGGCCTCTCCCGTGTGCGTGCGTGGGATCTACGCCGTGGCTGCCCTCATCCCACGCCATCCCTGGTCCCACGGACCCTCCGTGTGGCTCGGAAAGGACGATGAGCCACGGAAGAGGAACTGGGAGAAGGCCCCGAGGAGGGGACGTCGGCCTTCATGCTGTTTTGTTTAGTTTCTGTGATCCTGACCTGGTATGTTCCCAGCGTGGGGAGAAGACGCTTGGCCCAGAATCCTAAAATTAAAAGGGGGGCCTAGATCCCAGTTGCTGAAGAGGATAGGGCTGGTGAGAACTTTCACAAGGCTCTTCTGTGCGTCGTGGCCCGGACACTTGCTGCCTTGCGAAGGAAGGATTCAGGCCCGCGCCCGGGCTGGGCCGGAGGTGGACGGAGAAGGCTCTGAGGCAGACGCGTGTGTCGGTTGGGCTGTCACCCCGCCACGGGCCACACCTTCCTTCCTGGGTCCACATTCTGCTTCTGGAGATGCTCAAGGACAGTCTGGCTGCTTCAGCAAAAGGAACTATGGCGCCGGAAGAGCCCCGGGGCCTCCCCTGCCCAGGCCGCTCTGCCATCTCTGCTCTCCTGCCTGGAACTGAGGCACGGGCGAGACGGCTCTCCGGGAGCTGCTTGCTTTGGCACTTTTTTAGCTGGCAGGAGGCGGACAGGAAAGTTGCACCTTTTCTTCCGGAACTTCCATGTTTGGGGTTCGTGCCCTCGGGTGCCAGAGCTCGGGAAGCACATGGGGAACAGCATGTGCACGAGATGGGGAGCTCAGAGGGACCCCAGTCCAGCAGCCGGGAAGCAAGTTGTTCGGATCCATGCCTGACTGACCCGGAGGCAGAGCAGAGATGAGGAGGGCTCTGGAGTCCTTCCTTTAGGATGTTCACTGTCACCCTGTGCTTCCCGGGTGGGTCTGGTGGCCCAGCCGGGACACCCCCCCCCCCCCGCCACCTGCAGCTGCTTCCTCCAAGAGACTCTCTGGGCTCCTGGCAGGCCTGAGCTCCATCCTGCCTGTCTTCATGGAGCGTCTGCTATACACCCGGCCCGGGGCTGGGCTGCTTGGGATTCCGAAGAAGGGCATGTCCTCATTTGCCTTGATGGCTCCTGTGGCCTTTCTGGGGGTGGTTCAGAGCAGGGCTGTGGGACCTGTGGTTTTGAACACCTGTAGCGTCTGCCTCCTGGTTTCTCCTTGCTGTCTCCGTGGACTGGGGATGACAAGGCATCCGGAGGCCCCAGAAGAAACGATTTGGAGACTCTGTGGTAGAATTTGTCCAAATGACCTTTCGAAGAATCTCCAAAAGCTAGTGCCAAAGGTCACTTCCCTGGCTCACCCTCTGCTTTCACGCTTGATGGTCTCGCCCCTTTGAGCTGACGAGAGAGTTTCTGGGGGTCGGGTCGGGGTGGGGGTGGGGGGCTCGGACATCCAGAGCGGGGGTCAATGCATGTTTCTCTGCTTGGGGTTCAGTGGGGCACTGGGACGTGCTTCTGCTACCATACAGTCAAGTTCACGGATTTCACACCGAAACATTCAGATCCTCCCCCATTCTTCCCCAGTCGGCACTTTGCCCGAGATGATGTCCGACGTCTGTGTTCCTGTGTGACCGAAGATGGGTTATTGTCCCTTTCTTGCCACCTTGAGTCTCGGTAGATGGCAAGTGTGTGCGGACAAGCGTGTGCTGGTAAGTTGGTTGTTTTTTTAGACAGAAGGGCCTGCGGCGTACGACTTTCTAGAGTCTCTCTTTCTGGCCTCCCTGTCACACTGGCCACCAAAGCCGACTGAGTTTTGACCCTTCCCACCGATCCCCGGGGCTGTGTGCGGGTGCCCTCCCTGGCCTCCAGCTGCCGAGGTCCGTACCTACGGAAGCGAGCATCCTGAACATTCGTTCGTGCAGGCCCGATGGGGCCAGAGGACGTCAACACAGATGAGGAGAGAGACCCCAGAGAGAGCGCAGTGCTTCCCGACGGAAGCCGCTCTCTGACTTGAGGCGCCGGATGGAGGGCGTGTTTGAGCTGTGGTCATGGGGGGCTCCGGCTGCTCTGACTATCGCCTCTTACACCCTCCCCCCCCCGAAAAATATCTGGGACCAATTTTGTTAACTTGGCATCGTCGTTTTGGGGTGGGCTCACCCCCTGTCCTTATTCTGTCCTGAGACCACGGGCGAAGCTCGTCCTCCACAGGGAGAAGAGAAACAACCACACCAATGATGTTTTCGTTTGTAATACTTGAAATTTATTTTTTTATTATTTTGATAGCAGATGTGCTATTTATTTATTTAATATGTATAAGGGAGCCTGAACAGAGAAAGCTGTATAGATCGGGTTTCGTTGTGCGTTGGTTGGTTTGGGGGCCTTTTACGTGTGACTCACGACTCCTCTGTGTTCTGGACACTGTCTGAATTAATGACCTGGGATGAGGCTGTGCCAGCTTTCAAACGGGATGCTTTTCAGAAATTTGTATATTTTGCAGTTGCCAGAACAATAAAATACCTGGTTGAAATTCGCTGATGAAGTGCCTCTGGTCCTTTTCTTGGGGGGGGAGGCAGCAGGAGAGGGCAGAGAAAAGTCTTCAGTCAAGCCCTGTGGTCCGCACACCAAGTGTCCTCCGCCGGGCTCTTGTCATCGTCCTTTATTTTTTCATTTATTTTTTAAATTTGTTATTTTAAGATTTTATTTATTTACTTGAGAGCGAGAGCGTGAGAGAGCATGAGAGGGGAGAGGGTCAGAGGGAGAAATAGCCTTCCCGCTGAGCAGGGAGCCTGATGTGGGATTCGATCCCCGGACTCCAGGATCACGACCTGAGCCGAAGGCAGTCACTTGACCAACTGAGCCACCCAGGCGCCCAACGTCATCGTCCTCTAGAGCAGACGTGTGGGCACCCCCTGCCGACGCTGATCCACGGCAATAGGGATGTGCCTCCAGCACACACACAACGCCCCGTGTTAGTATCCCCTGGCCCCACAGCCCCTTCCGCAGACGCGCGCTCACCCACACGAGCATGGCCGCTCGGGACAGTCCCGGGCAGAACTCCTGGAAGCCAGTGGGTGTTTGCTTCTGGGTTCCTTTCATGTCCCTGACCTCCCCCCACAACCCCCTTGTTGCCCCTTTCCAGTTTCTATGCGGGGAAGCTCTAAGGAGCTTCTCGGGCCACTGTGGCGTGCCTGAGGCTGGCTGTTGGACGTCCGCGCCTTCCTCTCCACAGACGAGGACCCTCCTCTTCAGGCAGGGCTGGGGGCCGTGTGCGGTCGAAGGCAGCCCCGAGCATGTCCTTCAGGCAGCGTCTGGATGACCCACGAAGCTCTCACCGGGTGTGATGTTCCTTCCGTGGCCCCCACGGTTACGCTCCGGAAATAGACCTTGCTCCCAAATTAGTCTTCCTGCCTCCCTCACACTTTCCTGGCCCTGGTGTGAGGAGACTAGGAGTCAGCAGTTCGGCACCTCCGTGTTGAAGTGACTTCCGAGGTGATCTGTACCGGGCACGGCGGGGCAGAGTGTCTGGGTAACGGGCCTCGCCTGGCACCCGGAGCGCGAACGCCCACTGTGGGCCGGGCCTGACCCACACCTGATACTGACAGAAGGTCAGTGTCATGACCTTTTGGGCATGTCTGTGGTATGTCTGTGTGTGACCTTGGGCCAGGTCTATAATGACTGAATAAATATGGACGAAATGGTGAGCGGGTAGGTGAATTGGGCGGGGTGGGGGGGGGGGAGAAAGGGGCAGAAAGCTGCAGGAAGGTGAATGCCAGAGAAAACTGATCCATTCCTGAGGTCCTAAATATGAGCCAGACACGCTGTGGCTCTTTGTACCTGGAAGACCGCACTAGGAATTCCCCGGTAGCAGATAAAGCCATTAGGCCAAGTACTAACCGCCGTGGTGGTAAAGATTTAGTTAACTGTCTTTGGGGGTCCTCCTCGGGGTGCCCCAAGAAGTGAGCCTGATGCCCGTTTTACGGACGCAGAATTTTAGACTCAATGACGGTAACTTTGCCTTTGCCTTGACAAGCAGACTTTGGTGATTCAAATCCAGGTAGCTGGGACTCTAAAGTGCGTGGCCTTAACCGTTAGTGAATGTGGTCTTCCCACAGTAATGTGAGTTAGCAGGGGAGCAGGTGAGGGGTCCGCTCAGCGTTACGCGGCCTGCCTGTCGGGCTGGGAAGCGTGGGCTGTCCCTTCCGTCATGCTCCCTGTGGTGCTCAGCTGGTGATCAGATGGTCAGGGTCTTTAGAGAAGTCAGCAGCAGCCCAGCAGGAGTACATGGGAGTCCTGGCCCGGATTTTGGAAATCCCCAGGTACTACCCAAAACCTATCTGGGCAGGAGTTCCAAGAATTTTACCAGCACTTCCAAGAAGCAGCATGTGGCACTGTGCCGTAGAGGGTGGGAGGCCAGGAGGGGTGGGGAGCGGGCAAGTGGGGCCTTAGGAGGGGTTTACATCTGAGTAAACAGAGCTGTTGGACTCTCTCTTGCTCGGGCTGAGTGGCCCAGACCTGCCAGTGGGAGCAGCCAGCCAGTCTGACACTCGAGTCGCACTTTGCTCATGACTCATTGAACGTTTTTCTCACCAGCATTGTTGGGAATATTTTAATTTGGGATTATTTACTAAGGAGAACTGGGAAAAATAGTTCACTGTTTGAGAAGGGGCAACTAATTAGACTGTAGCATTGCGCCATCCATTTGACCAAAATGTTAACAAATATCAGACTGTTGAAAAGGAGAAGAAAATATTGGGTGGACGAAAATCAAACTTAAAAGCAGTAGAAGAAACCACAAAGGAAATACTGAGTTTCCACAGCATAAATACTTTACCTTCAAAGTCATTAACAACCATTGTGAGTAAAACGAAAGCAACATGCTGAGAAACTTTGCCACAAATCTGACCCCCCACCCCTGCAGTTATCCTAGCAGACGGATTGGAAACACATCCAGAGCGATAAGAAAAACACCGAGACTTCTAGATTCCCAGAGGCTTTTACTTCCCCTCTACCACGAACCGCTGCCGTCTTTTAAGCTAATGATGGGGCAACTGAAGACTGGCGGGGGGTGGGTTCTGAAGGTTGTCTGGCTAACTTCCTCTCGGGTTCTCATTTTTCCACACAGCGTGAGTGGGTTTAGATCAAGATTTTCTTGGCATGTGAGCAGGTCTTCACAAGGTACCGATGGTTCAGGTAATCTTTATAA